CCCTTCATCTTCAACTTCAATGGCGTTGGAAAATTGAAACTTCGTAGGCGACAGAGCAGATAACTGTCTTCTGGATATTGTCTTATTTTTGGAATCTTCAGCGATAACTTTAGTAAATAGTTTCAATAACTTTGTTCTTCCTCCTAGAAGTGCTTTTGGACTTTTCATTTTATTCTAATATAAAAAAAAAAAACGAAGAAATATAACCAGCTGAAATAATGAATGGCAACATTTTTTACATGACTTAATTGGTTATTGAAATAACCGGTTATATTGCGGCGCAGTACAATATCCGAACTGCGGTTATCCCTGAGGTCTCTGTTTAGACATCTAGACAATAATGCTGCCTTCTTTGACGTTTTTGAAAAAATTTCTAAGCTCTCGTCCGACATTAAGAATTTTAAGTACGTAATTAATCTTTTGATTTTATCAAATTTTAAACTAATATTTTTTGATGAAGGTTTAAATATCAGTTCTCCATTATATTACCATATTACTGGTATTTAATTTTTTTATATACATATTGTAATTCGTTAAACTAAATTCATTAATATAAATAAATTATTTTTTTAATTCTTATATTTTCTCTTCTTATATATATTTTTTACTTTTTTCTTCTGAAGTTTTTTTCTTACTAGATTTCTTTTTTTTTTTTCAAAAAAATTTTTTTTTATTTTATTATTTCGCTAACATATCAACTTTTTTTATTTAGAAATTATATTAAAAAACAACAAATAATAAATTTGAATTGACTTTTTTTTTTAAGATTTTTTAAAAAAGCTATTGTATAACTATTATTATTTGAATTTTTAAGGAGTTGTATTTTACAATATTTAAAAAATTATTATTATTATTTTTTTTCCATAATCAAACAAGTATATTTGAAGTTTATTTAATCTTATTGCAGAATATATATAAGTTGAATTACTTGTATATACAAACTCTAAATTTTATACCTAAATATCTATCTTTAACATATTTGTCTCTAGGTATGATTTTGAAAATGAATAAAATTACTTATTTTTGCTTACTTATTTAGAAGTAAATATTAAAATCATTGCCTGCAGTTCATTACTACAGTTTGTTTTGACAAAATCTTGATCATTTTTTTGAACTTCTTTGTAATTTTTCTTTCTTTATTTGTGTTTTGTAATGAAATGTCTTGCTTACACTTTTTTCTAATAAAAACAAAAGATAATAAAAAATATTTTTCGAATATTTCTTTTTTTTTTTCTTATGATTTGTTTATTTTTTTTTTCTTAAAGAACTTATGTATTCTTATTGGGCCACTTGAATCTATTTCTTTTTTCTTTTCTTTTATGGATTGTTACTTTGGTAGCTATTTGTTTTTTTAAATTTGTTTATATCTAAGATTCCATAAATATTATCTCATTAACTTGTATTATATTTTGGATATTTTAAATAATAACTTTTTAGCTTGAATATAAGAAATCTTGATGGTCTTTAAACTTGTTTCCTATTCCATAACTTCTTTCTTCTTTTAAAATTCTATACTTAGATTGATTAACTTCTTGGTCAATTCAATTTTTTCTTTCTATCATTTTAAGAGCTAAATAATTTTTTTAAAATTGATATTTTGAAGCTAAGTATTTAAAGATCTATTTCTTTATGATTTTTTCTTGTAGAGTCAACCATATTTTTTCTCTCTTCATTCTTATCTTTTTATAAATTAGTAGATAATTTAATGTTTTTTCTTCTGTTTTATAGAATATATATTTCATATCTTCACTATAACTTGTTTTATTATTTTTTATAAGATTTCTAAAGTAAAGAGCTTGTTATGAATTAATTTAATCTTAAATGTTCTATTTTTTATTTGTTTAAATAAGGTACTTAGAGTATTTTTTTCTTTGTAATGTTTTCAAAATCCTTTTTAATTAATTTCTTCTGAATTTTGAATCTTCTTTTTCTATCTAGCTTAAATCCTGTTTTGATTAATCCATTGTATTAAGATTTTTCTTTTGTATAACTTTTTAATAAATAGTCTTATTAAAGTATCTATTGAAATATTATTTTAGAAGAAAATTAAGATTGGTAAAATTTTTGACAGTTCAATTCAAGAGATTTCCTGCTTTTCCTTGACTAATTTGATTAATTGATCAACTTGATTATTGATTATATCTTAATTATATATCTTAATCTTAATTAATTCAACTTAAATTTCTTTTCTAATTATTGTATTAAACATGTGTAATCAAATTTGTCAATTGAAAACCTTTATTCTTCTGCAAATTGTATTTTTTAAGTAAGAAGTTTTTAGTTTTTAATATATACTAATATAATTAGTATTGTTTATTTGGATCTTTACTTTGTATTTATTTGATATTGTTAAAATTGTTAAAAAAATTACTACTAGTTCAACTCTTGTCAATAAAGACCAGTTGTCTATTTTGATTTGAAAGTTTCTTTTTGAATTTGATTTCTTGGTTTATAATCAAGCTATACCTATTTTAATTATTTGATATTGTATTTTTCCTATCAAATTATTTATATAAAATTGATAGATGCCTTTGTATTAACTGTTCTTATTAAGCTTGTATTATTTACTTAATTTTTGGCTTAGATTAATCAATAATTTATTAAATTTTTAACTTGTATTAGTAGTTTGATAAAACTCAATTTTTTATATGGTGAAGTTATTTGTTTTTTTAAATCTGTATTAGATAAGATTAGAGTTTTAATTGATACTATTCAATATGATATTTTATAAAACTGATATTGAAAATTTTTTTCAATATAATATTTTAAAGTATTAATATTATACTAAAGTATCAAAAATATTAATAATAATCAAAATATTATATAAAGTTTCAATTAATATTATTTTATATATTATATGCTATTAATTATAATATTCCAGATATTATTTTAAAAAATAATAAAAATTCGAATTATTATATAATTTGATTATACAATATTTTATTATTAATATCATATATAATTATAAAGATTTTATATAATTTTTATTTATTAATTTCATATTGATATATAATTTTCTTAATTTTTCAAATTATTTGTTTATCAAATAAGAAAAATTTATAAAAAGCCTTATCATTATTTACAAGATTTTTAAGAAATTTATTATAATTATTGATAAATATCATTATTAAATAATTAGAAATAATTTAAATCTTCAAGAAAATATATATCAAACAATTTATTATATGAAATAATTCAATAATTTTTATATTACATTTTAATATCTTTGTTTTTACTTTTTATAGATAGATAAAATTATCATTATAATTATATAAATTAATTAAAATTTGTATAATTAATATATTAATTTATAAATTAATTAAATTGAAAATTAAAAAATTTTTAAATTAAATATTATTTTTAGTTCTAATAAAACTTTATTAAATTTTAATTAATTTATAAAATTAAATATTTATTTGAAAGAAAAAAAATTCATTATTAATTAAATTCTCTAATATAATAGATCATATATATAAAGTCTTACATAGCTAAGCCTTGGTTTTGCCTAAAATATTTGATCAAAAGTACTGTATATATCCGAAAATAAGCTACCCTTTTTTGCAAAATTTTAAACTTGAAAAATAAGGTGATAGCTTATTTTCAAAGTTTTATTTATTAATCGCATATCTGAAATTTACATAAAATTCTAGATTTTAAAAGGTGGATAGCTTATTTTCAGGGGTAGCCTATTTTTGAACATATACGGTATATACTAGACAAGTGCTTCCATTCTGAATATCTGGTATTATTATTATCTACATATACTCAAGAAGAATTTTCATGAAGTTGGTTTTCTTGTTTACTTTCCCAATTCCTATTTATATCAAAAACTGCGATCGACTTATTTTCTTCAAAAGATCAGTACAAGATGATCATACCATATTGGGATTAAGGCCCCTAATATAGAAAAGATCTATAGGCTGTATCACGACAACAAACTAATTTCTGGATCCAGTATATTCAAAACCTGATTTTCTTATTATATGAAATTATTCATATCTTACTCCTCAATTAAACCTAAATATGGATACATTCATGAAGTATAAGTTGATATTTGGGCAAAAATATAATAGGCTAGAATTAACTCTTATAAATAAGTGGCATAGAATTCTTAATGTATTAACCATAAACTAAAAGTTTAATAAATGTTATATATTTAATATCCATTTATAAAAAAAAAAATTTTTATTATTAAATTATATAATAAAAATAAATAAAAAAAAGATTAATAAATAAGTCACTTTTTAGATTTTTGAAAATTTTTTTCTCAACTATTTTCTTTTCACTACTAGATTTATATTTTTTATATATTACTTATTAAACAACAATATTTTTTACAATAAGTCAAAATTTTTTAAATTGTTAATATTTTATAATGAATAGAAAATTATTAAAGTTATTTATAATAAGTTTGCTTTAGCAAGTTATAAAATTAAATATAGCTATAATCATCATTACTCTATTGAAAATTGATGACTTAACTCTTTGACTCAAGTAATTAATCTATTCTATAAAATAATACAATATAAAGAATTTAAACTAATTATAAAAAAAATCAAATCTGGCAGTAATGTCAATACTGACTCTTCTTGCCATACATCAAGCCATATTTGAAAAGCAAGAATGCTAATCTTATTTATGACTTGAAGACCAACCTGTAAAAATATGGCTGCAGTACCTTTATGTGTTTAGGTAATCAAATTACTTTTAGAAAAACTAGATACTATTCAAGATTATGATATAGTTTTTGAATTTCTTTTTACTGTATTTTTTGGACAATGTCTGGAGTATAAATAGGAAATCACTTCTCAAGTCTTACATTTAACTCTACTTATAATTTAGAGAAACATATATTATTCTATTAAATTTTAAACCTTTTTTCAAAAAGTTAAAAATTATAATAAAATATAAAGAGTAATTATTATCTTAGCTCTTTAAAAAAAAAAAAAAAACTTATTATAAAAAATATTATTATTTTTATTATATGAAAAGTTAATTTTAATAAAATAAAATTTTTTATTATTTGAAGATGTTTATTTTCAAAAATAAAAAAATCATTTGGATGTTTATTTTTGGAAATAAGTTAATCATATATATATATTTTTTTTTTTTTAAGAGCAAAAAATGATTATCAATCAATAATTTTATTGTAATTTTTAACTTCAGTGAAGATTTACAATTTAGAGGAAAGATATACGTCTCTCTAAGCTATAAGTAGAGTTAAACACAAGACTCATATTGGTCCCCCATTTTTGCTCTGGGCACCCCTAAGACATATAGTAAAATGAATTTCAAAACCTATAT